CTGGGCACTGACTACTTAGTGTGTATTCTGGTAATATTACTGTTCCCAGGGATGTGGGTGCTACAGTATATCATGTGTTGCTTTATTTCAATGCTGGGAGGAGGTGCGGTGTGTCCAATGGAATTCTGCATCTCTGACTTGACACAAAAAGCCTTTGCTCTTCCTGTGTTGGAGAGACTTGGTTTGAAAGCATATCGGTGTGTGTGTTCCCTTTCCTGCTGCTGCTGTCCTCCCCTTTCGTCCTTCTGGTTTTTCAGTCTACCCCATGTTGAACACATGTTTGTGCCTAACAGGGTGAATAATGTAGGTGTCTCTGGTACCTGATCCAATTAATACAGTACTGCTTATATATGCTTCTCTGGAACATCATCAGATATATGCTATATAAATACATGTACATACTGTATGTACTTGTTATATGTACATTATGTCTATACTGTATATACTGTAAATGTGTTTGTTCTTTATATACTGTATACAGTATATATAAGTTTGTCCTTGTAATGTTGAAAGTCATTGAGTACAAAACAAATTCAACTGTTATTCACTCATCCACAACAGGAATATATTTTGCCCAGGGTTTATAGTCCTCTTTGAACTTAATGCATTTTTATGGTTAATTGATTCATTTATACGCAGTAGCCTTTAGGGAGTTTCTCTGGCTGTTTAGTGTATCAGATCTGCAGTAGATGGTGGAAAGGTACCTTCTTGACACCTGTGGTGCAGTTGTTGGTCCTGTTATGGAATGTCTCTCCCCAACAGCCATGTGCTGGGGTGGGTGTGCCATGAGCCGTGCAGCTGGGGGCTGGGGAGAAGCTACTGTGTGAATCCCTGCACAGCACTGCCCTGGGACTGCAGCCTGTGGCCCTGCTACTACCCCATTTCACCACACAGACAGCTGTGTCTTTGGTGCCAAACACTGCACTGATCAAACACCTGTAGTGAATCATTGTCTCACTTGCTATGATATACAGTGTTTATTTTTCTTTCTATATTTTATTTGCAACCCACTATATCTGGCACGTTTCATTAATTAAGGGTATCAGCTTTGCTAAGAAACAAATTGGCACAAATAGCATTTACAGCAGCTGTTGTCCAGTAGTACCAGAAAACAATAAAACAATGATAAAAACAATAGTAAGTGCTGTACATTATCCATCTACCCCTTTGTTTCATGAGCAGGGCTTTAAAAATAATCTGCCAGTAAGAAATACTGTATGTATTGGGATTTTAATTTGAAACCTCTTCCAATTCTAATGATTCTGTCTGTGTACAATAAACTAAAATGTTTTTTTTAAATCACAATTTTTTTTTTACAATGGGAAGAAGCAGCTTTGTGTAAATTAAATGGGTTATTCCTAACTTCAGAATTTGTTGAGTGCAGAAGTTCAAATTGGTAACAAAAACCGTTTTCACAGCAAAAGCATTCCCTCGTGTCATTTTTTGCCATTCTTTTGAGAAAGTCAGTTCAAGGTTACTTCTTTAAACACGTATCGGAGTAGCTGCAGTAGCTGTGAATTGGATTTCTAAAAATTTGGCATGCCAAGTTAATAGCAGAGACCAGGGTGTTTCGTGGAGCCCTGAAAGGTCTTCACTTTAGTGCCTCTGGAGGTTTGAACTCATTTTACAGCTGATTAAATGGCTGATACTGTCTGTGCCCCATATCCCTTCATAGTCCCCTCCCCCCAAAAAACCTCCCATCATTTATTGGAAGAGGGATAGGGGGTGATCCCGTCTGCATGTAAACGAATGAACCATTTCTAATGACAACTGGTGTTCCTAGTGACGTGGGTGAATATGTTTTACCCTTTTTTCCTGCAGAAATGAAGCCTTAATTTGTCAAGAGCCCAGCCGTGGCTTTGAATCATACAAACACGCCTTAATTACGTCAGTGAGAACTAATGGAGTGGCCGATAGTGAAGGTTATTACAGTAAATCTGAATTCCTATTTGTCAGTTTGGTAGGTGTATTGCCTTTGCACCCACACACACATGTGAGGACTCTGTGGGCTTTGAGTTATTCCAGTGTTTGATTCCTGTGAGGGAACCCAACCCTTTTTTTGCCTCTTCAACCCATATGCAGAAATCAGTTAAAAACTACATCATTTATACAGTGTAGGAGAGTCATGAAAGAAATAAATCTAAATCTCCTTTTTAACCTTTGAAATTAACACTTCTTCTGAAAGAAAGGAATGAAATATTGAAATCCCCGATCCATAAATTCAAATTGAATCTAGTCTTGCCAAGCAAATGGCTGAATATAACAGTGACATCTTCGCATTAGGGCTGGTGATTTGGTATTTTGTGTTGCGCATCCACACTGTTTTATGAAGGCTAGAGTTTTTTTTATGAGCTTTTATTCGAAGAAAGAATAAAGATGGGACTGTGCTTTAATGAAATTGTTCTCCTTCCATAACCCCATCCCATGGAAATAAATACACTTGTGAAAAAAAATTCTCCCTGAGCTGTCCAGGAAAAAAAATACTAAAAGAAGAAGCATTAGCAGAGGGGATGTTGTCTCAGGGTGTAAGCTTGTCATCATTAACACAGCAGGTCTTTTTCTACAGCCTACCACGTCTGTGGAAATGCAATATTTTAAAAAGCCTGGTGAATATGGAAGAGGGAAACATAATGTTTGGCATATAAAAGAGCAAGCAGCATCACCCTGAACAAAGAAAGCCTTTCAGTATTATTATAACACAACTATGTCAATTTTTCATTTAAAACATGAGTGATTTTATTCCAGATCCAAGCCTGTGAAATGCAGCTGTGTCTTTCATTAGAAGACGCACATACACTTTCTGCAAGGAGTTATGTGTTTAATTTGGCCTTTTCCAAGAAGTTTTCTCGCAGGAGAAGAAATAACGAAGATAATTTGTTAACTTCCGCACACATTTCTATTTATTAATTTCATATTCTTTATGCAGTGTACATTTAAAAACACTAATCTTCCTCTGTGATGAATGTTACTTTCTACTTACAGTAGCTGAATTAATAATATCAAAGAAGACAGCTTCTTTGTTTAACAGAGACATCCTGCAGAGAGCAGTATCAGTCAGTTCTGTAACAGTCCCAGCTATTATACTTTTAGTTCTGAAAGACAAAAAAACATCATAAACAAAGGTCTGGATAGATCAGTTAGGTTTTTCAGTGGGTTGATCATTAAGGCTCCTACACAAACAAGACAAAGTGTGTCTGGATGTGTTTACCTGTGTGTCTGGCCTCTGATTTATCATGACATCCTACAGTACGCGCTCTGCAGACAGCTAGTTTTAATGGTATAGGCTCATATCTCGATTAGTTTGGTCAATTGCTAGCGATCACTGTTGTTGACAGTAAACTTTGAACGTATTAAGACCACATATGGACCAGGACAAGCAAATAATATCTTGTCTGTATCTGCATTCTTGCTTCTTTGTCTGTGTGTGTGCAGTGTATTCTACTGTATATTGTATGTTTTAAATATTTAGCTGTTAAAGATCTCTCCAAGGATATACAGTAGATAAATGCTACTTTCTGTAAAGAAGAATAATTAAACACGCCTGACACTGATAACAAGTACTGTACATTGCTGGTAAAGCAGTATTAAAGATTAATACTGTACAGTAAGGTTTATAAAGCACATGTCTGTTTATAGTATTTAATAATAATGTACTGTCTTTCTCTGTGTGTAACCAGTGTTTCTGGGAAAGATTGTTTACTTATCAGTGTGTTTTAGACAATGTCTCTAATTCTGCTGTTCCTTTACTTGTGCCCTAGAATTTCACCCCCAGATTCATAAAGCTTGATTAGCCTGCAGTAAATCCACAGCTGGGAGATTTCCTCCAGCTGCTGGCTAATGACACTACTGTTTCTACGACATTGTTCAGACTTGTCCTGGGTGATTTGTGTCCTGTATTTATTCTTCTTCTGTCCTAGCTGAGCATTAAAGAATATAGGTAAGCCATTAAATGTCTTTAAAATAGGTTCCCATTCGCCCTGTGTCATCATGTCTGTTTCCCTCTGCAGGCAGCCTGTTTAAAGATATAGCTATATAATTGCATTTTAAGGCAGGCGGTTATTAACAACAATGTTATGAGGTTGTGAGATTCAGCAGTGTTCCATAAATAGGAGTAATGTTTCAACACACCATCATGCAGATCACTTCTTAGCAGAACTCTTCCACAACCAGGTCTCTAATTTAATAAAACTTTACTTGGCACAATTAAAGAACTGACAATTATGAATCATAGGATGTACTCAAGAATGGACTTGAGAATCTGCATGCTTGATTACATCTTAATGCTAAGTCTGCTCTCATTCCTCTACATCTTCACCTCACTTTACTTGTCCATAGATGAACCCCCAGAAAATTAACTGCCCACCTGATGACAGGCACTACTTGGGTACAAGAGTGAAATGACCATGTACTTGGGTTGAAACAAGTGCTTAGAAGAATATTGTTTTCATGTGCATGTGTCAATACTACTAAGGCTGTACAATAATCACAACACTGTGCTAAGTCTGTGCTTGCGTTCCAATTGATCCCTGAAGACACTGCAGGATCTTTGAAGTTTTGACTTGAAAGAGCCTATTTGAATACTCAAGGAAAAGGGTACAGAGTCGCTCTCTAAGCGCTGATCATAGACAGATTAATGAACAAGAACCACAGCCTCCACTGTAAGATCAGTGAGAAGTGGCTGCGTTGTTTCTTAGGTATCATATCTGTGAAAAAGCGCTGAAGCAGTTCTCATTGTCGTTTACACATTTGTATGCCAGAAGGGTTTGAAATCAGTATTCTAGCTCAAGACTAAAAACTATAAAGTTTCTTAAAACTTTTGACGTACATATTTTACATAAAAGACAAAGAAGACTGTTTTATTTTTTTCCTGAACTGAACCCATCTGTTTATATATTCAGTATAGAAAGTACAGTATATATTGGTAAATCGGAGGCATTGTGCTGGCTGTGAACATTAGTTTTGTGAAATTTATAAATGTGTTTTTTTATGTTCTCCTCTAGTGTCTGCCCAGATCTTAAAGGCCAGCCTGGACACCATGGAACGCCAGATCCAGCGCCTGGAGAATGATATCCAAAATTTCCCCAAGTCAGATGACGAGCAGGATAAGTTTGTGGAAAAGATGTCTATATCCTTTCAGAAATTTAGCTCCTTTGTGTTGTGGTCAGGAAGCTATTCGTGGTGATGGTATTTTAATATTCCTATCTTTTGACTTCCTTCTCTAAATCACAGACAGTTCAGTCCTGAAGCTGTTGATATTGCACTTTCATGCAGTCTTCCCCTGTGGCTCATTATGTGGGTTCTCTCCCCACAGTGTGTGTTAGCCTAGAGTGGTTTAACAGTCTAACCTACCGCAGGCCTGACTGGAAGCTTCCTTTGGTAAATCAATTCTCATTGTTCTTCCCTCATTTGGATTACAAGTAATTTATCCACTTACAGTGAAGGAAAACCATTTGATTATTTGAGCAAATGAATTTCTGGTGAAAAGGCGCACTGTATCTGCAGTGCAGATTGGAAATAACTGTGATACCTCTAACTATATTGCGTTCATTAGGGCATGATAGAAGTAATAAGCTGTTTAGATACTGAATGTTATGAAGCAAAGGATGACATGTAACCCAGTTTAAACAAGTTTTGCATAGCAAAGAGAAGCATGGTAAAGGCAATACTAGATATGCAGTGGGGTTTTGCATTATTATTTAATTTAATTAGAATTAGTAATTTATTTGACTGATGCTATTATAAAAAACGGATTTACATTTGTACTGTACCCTTTTATTATAGCTGGCTGTTTTACCAGTGCAGTCTGAGTGAAGTACTGTGCTTCAGGGTACTATATCAGTGTCCCACCTGAGATTTGAACCTGTAACCTTCCAGTCCAAGTCTTCTTCAAAATGGTGCCCAGGTGACTTGAAGTGGATGAAGTGATGATGCAGGGGGCTCTGTGGGAGAACTGTGTCCTAGAACAGGGTTTGAATATAAGAGAATAATGAAGAAGGGCACGTTCTGTAGATGTACTGTATCATAATTTGGACAGAATTGTCAAGAGTTTCTCAAGGATGAGGTAGACCAAAGACTGAGGGATTGTCACACCAAGGGTCTTTGTAGAGGAGGAGGCAGAGATATGTTAGGAAAACAAAGAGAGGAAATGAGAACTTAAGAGGGGAATGTAAAGGAAAAAGAGAACGAGACCTAGAGCCCATCAGTGGGGAACACGTTTAATAACAAAGTGAAAAGAAGGGGTCAGACCTTGAAATATGTAGTCATGACAAAGAGCTGGGAAAGGAGGAGAATCTGACATTTCGTGATCACTCAGACAAAGGATGCGGGATCATGTTCAGTTCTCTGGGCCCTAGTCCAGGTGCAGAAGCTACTGTACAGTATGCTGTTGGAGATCAAGAGAGAGCTGTGAAGCAGCATGGGGTGAGTAAAGATTCCCTGACAAAGAGCAGGAAAAGAAAATGTACTGGAAGAGGGACACGCAAGGCATGTTCAGTGATGGAGTTCAGTAAAAATAATGTTGTATTAAAAGTATTCATACTACTGTGTTAGACTTAGCCTTTCACTAGTTGAAAACATGCAGTTTACCTTTAATATTTTAGGAGACATCCAATTCCTTTAGCGCTTGTTTTCAATGTCTTATGAGTTTCCTTCCATTACGAATCACTCCAGGCTTTTGTGTACAGTAGCTTTCCATTTCTTCCATATATTGGAAATGGATATTGTTTTTCTGGGATTCAAAAAGGGCTCATTTACAGTATATTGCAATCTAAAACACATCTTTCTTCCCACAAGAAATGTCCTGGTACCCTCATGAGCTGCGATGAAATGTATATTTATCTATGTATATGTCTATTGATGATCACCATCAAGCTTTGTTCCTCTTAGACATAAGGAAACAGTTGAGAAAAATATAACCAAAGAAACCAGTAGCCAACTCAAATATACACCTGAGATTGAGAATAACAGCGACACTTTAATGCTGGACAGCAGCTGTAATTGGCTGCTTTTTCTGGTGTGAGCTGGTACCATTATTGCTAAATTTAAGAATAATTAATTTCAATATGACATCTGTAGTAATTAAATATAAATATAAAAATATTCCTTATGTTAATTGGTAAGTAATCAGCATTCTTTCTTTAATCAACTGTTTACATTTAGGATATATTACCAGTTTAGTTGAATGTTTTACATGGTATTAGATAAAGACACCAAACACAAACAAGCAAGAAATTGTATTACTTGTGAAGTTAAAAAACAAACACAAGAAGGTTAATAAACTCACACCAGCTTTGATTTTCCAAGAACCCAGGCGGGATAAGATCTGTCTTGTTCTTATTAGATACAGTGGAGTTGGCTTTGATTTATGTATTACTTTAACAGACCCATAGAAAACTTGTCCTCAAGTAAGAAAGGAAATAAATAGATGTAGATATACTGAAACAATACCTTTGTTCATTCCCTGGGCGTTGTCTCAAGGGGAATGTAAAGCTTCCTCTCCCTTTTAGAGATTCAAAGCCATTTCTTGGTTTGGCTAAACTGGCATTAAAGGGCATGATGACTGATTTGCCCCTCTGTTGGTAGGGAATCATCCCAGATTTGCTTCAGAAATTGACAAAAATTAAGTGATGAAAGGTTGAAACAAAAGATTTTTTGGCAGCTTTATTATCAAGTAGTCATGCCTCAATTTTTAGGACTAGCCACTTTGTCCTACATTTGGGTGACAGGGACAGACACCCATATGTGGCTCGGTCGAGCTCCACCATCTAGAGTTGATGGAGTTGGCATTGTTGTCTACCCAGAAAGAAGCTATCAGTTTTCCATTGCCTTTGTGGTGACTGTAATCGATGCAGAGCTCCTGAGAGTGATTGAAATGGGGGAAGGGTGGGTGTGTAGGCAATTATTTTGTCCCACGATCTTTCTCTGGTTCCCCTCTCAGACATTTTTTGTTTGCCCTGTCATTTTGACCTGTGCCTGAACCCTAACAGAAGCATTTAAATGAAGCAACCAATCTTTCCTTCTGTAAGTTAGAATGAATAGGGCAATCTGGAACTCATGGTATTTTGAATGCGTTGGGAATCAATTCAAATGATTGGGTACCATAGATCGTCTTTGGGCCTTCTGAATAAAAGATGATTATGTGTTTATTGTATGTTTGGATGTCATTCAAGCACAAGTCGTTCTGTGCATGCAAACAGAAATTGACTCCAGTTTTTGTACTCTTGAGGAGAAGGGAGTTTGTAATTTAATTTTCTTAGATCTGTTTCACACTGTATGTTTAAAGTCTGTTTTTATTGTTTTAGGTAGTTGGTAAGAATAAAACAGTAGTTGTCAAGACTAAGATGTGACTGTAAGAAAGAAAAGAAAAATTATAGTTTATTTAGCTTAGCAGACCAAGACCTACAAATTTTGAAATTCTGCCATTAACATCCCTCAGAAAAATGCTGTGAAGTGTTCTGGGATGGTGCATATCATAAAACACATTCCGTTCCAAACGCTTGATTGAGAAACTGTATTTTGAAATTGATATAAAAGTTGCTAAAATATATGGGGTATAAGCTAACAGCAATTGTGCACTTTGCTAATCAATTCCTATCATTTTTATGTGGTCAGTGTGTGTGACTATGTAACCCATCTCTAACTATCTCTAATTGCTTTCTGATCTTAAAATATTGTCCAACTAGATATGTTTTCCTTTTGTGGTTCCAGTCTGATTTCAGTAAGGGTCACGTATTCAATGCATTTATTACAGTATTTTCTCTTTTGGAAGTGAACTCTATAACCATACAGTACCAGTAAGACTTCCTTGCAATTGCTTGTGATATGAAAAGTCCTTCTCAAGAAGATTATACTGATCATGTTTCTTCCTATTGGGATAATACATGCGAATTATTGTAAAAGGTGTTCCTTCAGTAGTTTAGCCAACAATTTTTAACAGAAATAATGGGCTTTTAAATGAAATATGAACCATAACAGACCCTCAGATGTCTTTTGATAGTTGGTCTTATGAGATTTAGAACTTTAGAACAAGCAATGGCATGTACTGTATAAGGGAGGAGCTGGGAGAAAGGATAGAGGAGGCACTTGATGGCCTTACTATGGGATAATGGATTAATTGGTTTGTCCAATCAAGCTGCAGCTACTGCTGGAAATACCATAATTCATCCTTTGATATCCATCTCTTGATGTTCCCAGTGGTCTGGTAAACACTCAGGGACTCTGTAGCTTCACAAGACACTTAACAAAATGCCCCTCTGCCATTTAGAATGAATACCCTGTCTTTGGTTGATCCCAGGCTTTGCTTGATATTGGTTCAGAATTACCTTCTGAGTGACTTGGGTTTAAAGTTTTTATTTTGATGGAAAAAAAATATATTTGGTCGTTCCCGGGGGATCTGAATGGGTTCAGACACAGAATAGGATCTTGCAGTGCCGGAGTATAGGGGCAGGACGTCAAGCTTCATAATTACCTCTAATGAAATGGTGAGGTGTCTGCTGTTCAGGACAGTGAGAGACTGGAACTAATCCCTGGAGATGTTGGACCTCTGCCTAGATAGAAGTGCAAAAAGAAAGACAGCCTTTTCCTGCTGACAGGAAATCTGTATAAACTGGGCACATGACTGATTTTTATTTAAGTTTCAGCTTGTTCCTTTTCTTTTTTCCCACCTTTGAATCATGACAGAGAAAAATTGTAAAAGTAAGCAGATGAGATGTGTATATTTCAGAAACTACAATGAATGTTTATTCTCATTGTTGCTGAAAACCACAGTGTGATTGCAAGGAGATAAGATCAGTGTAATTTTTACATGCTTCTTGGTTTCAAAATGTTATTATCCTTCTTATTATTATGTTTACTTCGTGGTGCATATGCTCATATTGGTTATAAAAAAACTAAAGAAATACTGATAACTTTTTTATCTTTTGAAGTCTGTAAATGGAAGGATGGAAAGACAGTTTGTGAATCAGGATTTTCCTTGCACCTGGTAAATGAAAAAGATCAAAACAGGTGAAGGAAATGATTGTGAGCTGGAGGGAGATTGGTTGGAAAACTGTCAGGAAACCAGCAGAGAAAGAGGAATGGTCATGATAGCAAAAACATCTCGGGGAAGGGGAGGCTAGGAAGCAGTGC